CTTCTGCATGGTCACCTCACATCCTTGGAGCTTCTTGACGTATCCCTTCCATTTCATCTATGCCTACAGTTGTGTGAGCGTCAGGTTGAAGAGGAGTTTACTCAGCTCCTGCAGATGGACGAGCGACAGGATTGTGAGACCGCAATCCAATCCTTGTGCGACCGCTACATTCCCTTGAGGTCAATCCTTGACTTCAGTCAGGGCACTGCCTTTGATGGAAAGGACCCGTGCTACAAGCCATTGTGGGAGGAGCGCAAAAACAGTCTTGATGGCATTGTGGATGGTGAGAAGCAGCTGGCAGAATCTGCTGAGGCCATGGGACTCAGACCAAATAAAAATAGCATTAATATAAAACAGTTTATCATCAAATAATCACTGCCTGACTGACTACTACAGTTTGTCTATAATCGTCTATAAACTCTATAGGGGTATTGAAGAACCCAAAATTGGTGAATCACAAGAATGAACTGGTGGATACGGATAGGACATGAATTCAATAATACAATGTTGAATAGAGTCTATATAGAACAGTGAACAAAGAACAACATCACAAGACAGTATAAACATTCAGCAAACATAAAATAAACAATATGGTTTTATTTTTTGTAGTAATAGTAATAGTAATACGTCAACAGTAAAGCAAGTAAAATAAGCAAGACAGGAGTCACTAAGTAAGTACATCTTAAGCAGCCACACAGGCCCAGGCATTAAGGTCACTGTGTCAAAGATTGTTCCTCAGGCCCTTTCCAATTCGTTGACAGCATCCTTTGGCTGCGATGCATTCTTCACGTTGCTGAAGAATGTTCACCAAGGGAAGCAACGTGCTTTGCTCCTGATGATTGCGGAGACTTTCATTGAAAAGCTTCAAGCGGTTGACCTTCAGCATGAGCACGCCCCCCTGCCACAGACCAAGGAGATCCTCTTGCGATGCAACCGTGCTTTGATTGTGATGCTGCATCCCGTGCTAGGGCATCTAGGCAGCAGCGTCAAAGACATGGTTGACACTAGGAACTACAAAGGACGCAACTCTTTGATGAACGAGATGAAAGCGCATTTTGCTTCAGATGAGCATGTGCATCCGCTTTATGAAGAGGTGATCAAATTCTCCGTTGGAACCAAGAAGCACCAAGAAAAAATGCTTTCTTTGCAAGACAAGTTGGAAGGCCAGGAGCCATCATTTCCAGCTTTGGAAGATGCTATCCAGGAGTTCCCGAAATACAAGAAGGATTTGCGCCCTATGACTTCTGACAGCTTCAAAGCCATCTTGGTAAAAACGATTGATGCCAAGGTTGGAACGCTGCTTACCGAGAAGGTGCAGGATGCAAACCAAATTGAGGAAGCTGACCTGGAGATATTGAAGTCTGGTTTGGAGCTCTTCCCAAACGAGCCGGTCTTGGCAGAGAAAAGGGAGAAGCTGAATGAATTCTTTGAGAAGAATGCCACGCAGCTAGCTGAGCAAAGGATGGACAAGTTTTGCAAAAGTGTTATGAAAGAAGACTTTGACATCTCGCAGTTCAGCTTCCAAGAAATGCAGCGCATTTGCCCTCAACAGCTGACTGAGAGCATTTCTGTCTCCATTATGGCACTTATCCCTGTTGCGATTCGTGCTTTGAAGCACCAGGCTCGGCTAGCGGCAGCGGCTAGCACAATAAACAAGGGTTCTAGATTCTATCTAGCTGCTGCTAGCACTTCATAAGTCACTATCAGAATCACTAGCCACTTGTCACTAGTAACTTAGCAACTAATAATCTAATCATCTAATCCAAATCTAATAGTACTAAGTGACTAGTGGCTAGTGACTGGTGAGTAGTCTGGCACTGAGTAGTCCAAAGCCATAGCCGTAGCCTTCGCGGCTAAGGTGTCATAGCCTTCATAGCTTAGCCTTAGCCTTAGCTTAGCTGTCATAGCTGCTGATGCTGTCGACAATAAGCCTTCATCAGTCAGTGTTTAAGTTTAGGTCCTAGGTTGGGTTACTTAAGTTCGGCAGAAGAGTGGATGGAGAGCGCCAAAACAAACCCTGCAACAGGTATCTACTACTGCTCATGACGCAGGGGCAGTGAACGATGCTTCCAAAGGCATGGCTGCGCTTGCAAAGCGAATTAAGCCAGGACATTTGAGAGACTACCTTTCTTTGGTGACTGAAATAGCAACCACGGGTTGCCACATGAGGGGCACCATCGCCAAACTGGAAGCATTTCCCGACGCAGCTGTTCGGCTGGCCAAAGACGCTGCAGGCACACTGCTCAGCAGCCTGGTGAAGTCATCGCAGCTGATGCAAACTTTGATTGAGAAGGCAAGGCTGAAAGAGGAAGAGGAGGTCAGCCTCAAAGAAGACAACGTCAGATTCTCAGATGTCTTCAGTCCGGAGCTGTCTTCTGAGACTTGGCTTGACATGATCAAATTGCAGATGGCAAAAGCATCCGAGCAACTCCAGCTCAGCTTCGTGGAGCTTGACAAGGTCACCAAGGGCTACAGCTCTGAGCGGCATTCATGGAAGGAGAACCTTGCCAGTGACGCGTTGCTGAAAGACATTCTGCCGATAGCTGAAAAGACCATTCTCACAATGTCAGCACAGCAGGTGCAGTCGAAGCTGGTGGTTTGCGGGAAGGACAGGTTTGCTGACAAAGAATTCACTCTGCGAATGCCGTATGTGGGTGCCGGTATAAAAATATATAATATATATATATAAATAGAGAGAATCTAGAATCTAGATATTTAAAAGATTTGATTGGTGTGTTTGATTAGTTAGTGATTGGTGATATTAGTAGTAAGCCATCATTCACTAGTCACTAGTCACTAGTTGCTAGCCACTAGCATCACTAGTCACTAGTCACTGGCAGCTAAAGACTAACTGACTAAGACCTAAGACTATGACTATGCCATAGTCCATAGTGGTTAGTGACTGGCAATGAGTTTCAGTCACAGTCACTATCAGACTGACTGAGCGACTGACTGACTGAGTGAGACTGACTGAGACTGACTGCCATTGCAAATACCTGAGCGAACTCAGACCAACTAAGTTAGACAAAGACTGACTCACTAGTTCACTAGTCACTAGTCACTAGTGAGACTATGGCCTGTGGGGCCACCAAGCTTGCCTACCCAATTGCTGCTAACCCACTCACAAAACCGTGACCTAGCGGACCTAGCGCCGGACCTAACCACTTCCCACTGGCAAATGCATTTCCACGCTATAGGAATTGGACAGCTCCAAAATGCTCTATGAGAAGTACAAGTACTTGCAGAATGAGTCCATGATCTCAGATGATGTGTTGAAGATGCAGAGGCTTCTCCACAGCACTGATGACAAGCTGGCCAGGGCATCAGCTGTCTTCTTTGAAACCATCCTTGTCACGGCCTTCAAGCACAAAGGATCCAACAAAGCAGGGAAGGATGTCAAAACTGGCGTGCAGAAGGTCATGGGTGATCTTGCTGGGGGGAAGTACAAGGAGGAGTTTATCCATCGTCGTCTGATTGAGGAAGCCTCTGTTTTGATTGGCTAGTAAACTTGCCAAACTGCACAGTGACCAGGTGACCAGTTTGCCATACGCGAATCGCTCAAGGCTCCAGTTGATTCTAATTCAAATTTTCTTTTCACAGATGCAGCCTCAGGTGACAGAGTGAGAGGTTGGGGGCACAGTGTTTTGAGACAGACTAGTGACTAGTTGTGTTGTTGTGTTTCCCACATCCTAGGTCCTAGCTGCTAGCTATAACGGTAACTGTACGGTTAACCCTTAGCAACCTTAGCCTTAGCCCTTAGCAGCGTTCACATTATATAACAGACTTCAACCACTGCTGACACTGTGGAGGCAGGCTTCTCACTCACTGGCTTCCTGTGGAAACAAACGTTGCCAGGATGTCGAAGAATGTTTCTGGTTTGCAAGAGGCTGCAAGGTGTTGATTTTGTGGCTCAACATTGAACGTGTATCAGACTAGACTAGACTAGAGACTAGAGTGACTAGACTAGACAGTCTAGAGTCTAGGATGAGGGAATGACAACTTTTCACTTGTTTTGTTTGCTTCTGTTCATCTGATAGTTCTGAGCGTTGATTTGCCTTGCCGAGAGCCTACTTGTATACTGAGAGTATACATACTGTTCAAAGACCTCATCAGCAGAGCCGACTGAGCCACAGCCAAAAAAGGTAGCTGCGACTCCCCCCCAAAAAAACACGTGTGCCTCACAAGGAAACAAACCGAGTTGTGTTTTGTGTTGCAACAAATCTGTTGCCAATGGTTCCTGCACTGCAACCTGTGGTTTGGTGGTAGTGCTTTTAGTGAGTGATGACGACTTAGACTCTAACTGGATGACTTGACTGGCAAATTAACCAGAGTACTAATTACTAGTTGCTAGTAACTAGTTAACGTAACTAACTAGTTAGTTCTTTCTTTCATGTGAGCAGTGGAGTAGCTCTGCCAGGTCAGTGTGTAAATATAGTTATATCTATTAATGTGTTGTTAATTTGTTTTGACTGTGATCAAGGCTCTATGTGTACATGCTAATCTACTAAGCTACTAATAGTCTACTAAATTAATAATTCAAACACAAGCTTAAACTCAAACAATGACTCCTGCTTAAATCTATAATGTATATACCCTCTACTCAACTCTATTCTTTCCATTCCTTCTCCTTTGTGCTTTACACCCCTTCTCCCCCCTTTGATGGATCCTATCTTGCTTTAAGTTTCAAGAGTTTTGCTTTGGGATATGCTTGCGTGTCTTTTCCATTCTTGAAGTTTGCAACAACTCTGCTCTACTTTTGGATGCTTTTGTATTTCTATTCCTCCCTTTCGCTCTATATATTTTCTACTTATGGATCCTATTAGTTTTGTATTCTATTTCTATACATTTTCCAAAATAACTATTTTGATGTTTAATAGAGATAGCAAACAAAAGTAGGTCATAACATTACTACTAGTAACAAGAAACTACTAATAGCAATGTAGCTAATTTGCTACTAGTAACAAGAACGAGAACGCTCAGTGCTCGGAGCCTTTGCCCAGTTCGTGAGCGCCGTGCACAGTCTCCGCAGCCGCACGGTGGGCGAGTCACGGCCGCAGGAGACTCAGAGAACGGCAACTTTTTGAGAGATACCATCCATCCACTCTATCCACTCCATCCACTTTTTCATGGTGCCATGATTGGTTCCAAGTTGAGAAGTAGTTACTGTAGATCATCCTTCGTGTACAAGAAGTCCTAGACCATCATTCATGACGGGGGGTCATACCCCATGCACGGCGGCCTTCTTTCGCAGTTGGACACCAACCTCGGATCCTGCACCAGATCAACTGCCCTATAAACATCACAGTTGAACACATAATGAAAGCACCTCTCTTCATATCTTCAAAATTCTAGAAATCCTGTTCGAAGCACGGAAGCTACACTCCTTCGGAAGCACAACGAAACTGACACACTTGTTCAACATTGGCGACATACTCTTCAGAATGAAATCACAGTTCGGGTGTGTTGGAGGCACAACGGAAATGGGTTGCCCGTAAACTTAAGAACATAGAGTTGTTTGAAAAAGGGTGTGAAGCAACATGTACTCGTCTGATGAAATGTTTGAGAGATTCGTCGAAAGTGTTGTCAATGATTGCTATGGCAAACAACGTCGGTTTAAAAGCAGCCTGTTTGAGTTTTTGTTAACACAGTTTTAAATCAAACACTTTGTTTTTGACTGAGCTTTCCATGCTTGGCCAAGAAATCAGACAACAACGCTGTCAAGATGTAAGGGTTGTGCCTGAACTTGCTCTGTTTCAAGGGGCTTAGCAGAGAATCTCCGTTCAATTTACAGCCCTGCTCCCATAGATTAAGGGTTTTAGTACTAGTACTATGTCCAGATTCTAAGTGATTCAGGCGGTGGCTCTTGGGCTATGTTGGAAGCTCAGCCTCCTCAGCTATGAAGCTCGATGCTTTGCGAAGCACTGCAGAGCACTGCGCGGAGCAGAGGTGGTCAGCTGTTGGCGCTCTCTCTTTCGTGCACGGAAGAGTGTGAAGAAGGAGGTGCGGCGCTGCGCTGCAGGACACCGAGAGGAGACCGAGAGGAGATATCCAGTCTCAGACCATGAAAGATCATAAGATGGGGTGTGAGATCTGAAGACCAATTTGGGGACAGACTGATTCGGCCAATATTGAGTTTGTTTTCGTCCAAGTCACTTGGAGGCACACCTACTGCACATCGGAGATTTGTCCTGCGCTTGGTGATGCTAAATAGCCTTTGCTGCAGCTTCAGACATGAAGAATACCTTTGGAGGCCTTACCACACTGCAAGAATATACCTCTTTGGGGACAACACGCCACGAGACCCTTGGCGACTGGGACAGGTGCCCGAGGACCTCGGACATATCTGCTTCACACATGCTTCGATGGCCCGTTCGACGCAGGAACTGCGGCAATACATTGAAGAGAGACGTTCTGCCACCAAGCACCGGGCATTCTAGGTACTTAAGTGATCTTAAGTGTCCGATAAGCAAAATCCAGATGACGATTTGTCGCTGTTTCTCTCAACCTCAGCTAGGTTGGGCAAACTTTACTGCAGAGGTCAACCGCCTGTGTGCTACAAGGTGCTCTGAAGTTTACAGTTCAAAATAATTCTTCTTTGACCATCCTGAGGATGCGTTTCCAGATGGTGGCAGAGGGTGTTCTGAGATGGATCTATCTACCTGTGGCTGAGTGCTCCTTGGAAACTTGCAAGAAGCTTCAAGAACCACGACTTCCCTGTATGATCCTGTATGTAGGTTCATGATCTCAAATGATCTCATTCATGGGTATCTCATGGTTTCGAAGCTTGATCAACTACGTGGATTTTCGACTGAAGAGGTACATCCGATGGCGCCTTCGATTCTCCCGAGCCGCTGAAGTCGCTGCTTTTGTTTGGTCTCGAAGCGCTGCTCTTAGAAGGGACGGAGCAGCTGTGCGATGCTACGGGGCTGTGCCAACTCAATCTGCGGTCGGTCGGAGAATCATTTTCCGAATGGAGATGAGGTGAAGACTCCACACATGAACAGACCATTTGGAGGCTGAGCCGAAGACTCAGAAAGCTGGAAAGGGCAGTGGAAGAGCTGGCGATCCCTGAGAGGGTCGTGAGAGCTGGCGAATGCTGGTGTCTCTCACTGAGGCCTGGACAACTCCAGCCGCTTTGGCTTGAAGTTTGGTGCTGCACCCAGATGAGAGCTGCCTTCACGGAGTCAAACTAAATAGCCCTGGATTCTGGGTCAAAACCCTGGGAGTGTGGTGGACCCACGAAAATCAACCGACTAGTCTACTAGGCATGTCGATTGTTTTGACTGACTCAAGCAGCTTGAAGCCTTGGAGCAGCTTGTCCATTCCCCAGGGACTGACCGAGAAATGACCTTGGCATTCGTCGATGTCTTGGACTACTGCAAGGCTCTTGAGGCTCAATTCTACAGTGAAGCACCCGCAGTCAAGTGCTGTGTCATTCACTGTTTCAATCTGTTTCTGTTTGGTTGGTTGGTTGGTTGGTTGGTTGCGGTTGAAGCTGCTTTGTGCATTCTTGTACCGTTCCTGCGCAGAATTGGGTCATTAAGCCTCAGCTTCCCATGCTCATTGCAGCTGCTGGAGATGGTGAGTATACAGCACCGTGCCCACGACAGAAGCCGAACACCAGACACAATTGGGTATGCAATAGAATAGGGAGACCAACCAAAGACCTCTGGGAACATCAAAAACAAAATCCATCGGTTGGGAGGTCCTGCTATATATATATATACATAGCAAGTGGCATTTCTAATCTATAAATACAAATCCAATGGCATTTTGCTCTTTCACTCTTTCACTCCTTCGCTTTTGCGAAGAACGTCAAGCAGACGCAAGCGTCAACGCAGCTCGTGACAGAGCTCTTCAGACACCTTTGAGGTACCACCTGGACTATGCTGACCCTTTTGTTCAGTCAGTGGCCCAATACCTTGGACGCCGCACTTGGCACCAGGCTGGACTCGAAGCGAGTCACGTGTTACTGTGTTGTCACATAGGTTCTCAACCCCTGCAAGAAAGACAAGCCTTTCCAGAACTGACCACATGGTGAGACTTGTCCCAAAGCTACAGGACCTTGCCTTGCAAAGTAGCTCGGTGTTAGGAATTTAGGAGTTCTTTGCAGTGTGAAAGCTACGACAAACATATGTATTGCATACATAATATATATATATATATAATGTATCATAATATGTGTATATACAAGACCTGAAGCATGGAGCATGGAGCGGACCGGCGCGCAACTTTCACGGAGTTGAGTTTAGGCACGTAGAGTCCGCAGAGGCTGTGAGTCGTAACGTGAGCATGTGTTGGACTCAACTCACTGCACAAGGTTTGAGAAAGAGACCTTTTTGAAGTGAGCAGATTGCGCAGCTTGGAGGTTCTACTGCCCTTCAACTTACTGGCAAGGCTACTTCCTCCGAACCCTACTGAGGAGGACTGCCTCTTTTCTCCGGCACATGCAAGTTTGCGATTTAGCGCTCACGACTGTTCATGATCTGGTGGCTCAGGACGTCAAACCATTGCGCCGCTCGATGCAACGGGTTTTGAACTAAGCACTTCAAGCTTTCGGAAAGATACAATGACGGTACTCTTCACACTTCACCTTCAGTCGAACTCATTGAGCTCCTTCCTTATAGGAGCTGCATTGATGCGAACGTGAGGTGTCGAACAGAGCTTTGCTCCAAACGGATATTGAGCATCAGCCCCAGCAAGCCTGGTCGCTTCTCTCCGATTCTTGCTCGAACACTTGGCAGGTGTCATGCAGTGTTGTTTGAAGTCTTGGTTCCAAAGACGAGCTTTGCTTCCAACATCCGAAGAAGGCTGAGAGAGTCTTATGCGACTTGCAAACTTACTAATGTGTGTTTTATCTTTGACATTGCTAGTAGGTTGGAGGTCTTCGCTATTAGGTTGGAGGCCATTGCTTTTAGTAGTTCAAAAGAACATTGTTTTTACTCGAGTCGACTCGAGTCTGCCAGGAATGCCGAGGTGACACCAACCCGCAACTCTCTGAGTTGGAATTGGAAGCGTGAATGCCGGGTCCGTCCATATGGGAGGATCAATCTGTCCCGAGGTCGACAAGGCTCCTGGGAGATACAGATCAGCCACGTGGACCAGCCTCACGATACGTTTCCAGGCAGTCCACCTCTAGTCCTTTCTTTGTTCATGTCTATTCCATTGCTCGAGCCAATCTTCAGGTACAGGTAAAGCAGGCTGGAACAGTGGCTCTGGGACTCCCACTGGAAGTCTCACACCAGCAATGCAGCAGGGAGCCATAGAACAGCGACTATTTTAAACATGTTTTAGGTGTTCAAGTAGTGTTCAAGTGTTTGTCATCTACGGCAGCTGATCACTTGCAGCTAGTTGTTTTGAACTTGAGGTCTGGGGAGCATGTCTTGCGGCGCAGACTAGCCTTGGTGCGAAACAACTGGAAGCTGATAGCAGAAGATTGTGAAACAGCTTGGACTCTTCGAAGGTACTAACGCAGAGGACAAAGAACTCCTCCAGCCTCAAGCCGAGGGAAGTGAGCTGTGATGAGACGTGGTGAACAGTGAGCTGTGATGTGTCCAATTGGTGGAGGCCACAATAGCGATGGCCTCCAACCTAAGAGCGATGGCCTCCAACGTAAGAGCGATGGCCTTTCCCTTCTGGGACACTTTCGACATTTTTAAATCAGAAGTGCGTCTCAAGACGCTTCTGAGTCTTAGTCGATAGGGGCAAACAAGTTTTGTATGCAATGACTGAGTGCAGCATCAAGCTCTCAGTTCTTTCTATGTGTCGAGTGCAGATGCCCTGCTAAGGGGCTTGGTCAAGCACTTCCGCTACTGCTCTTCACGAACGACTGTCTCGTGTGTGCTTCCCAACAATCTTACATTTCAGCCAGTCAGGCAGCTTGACAATGCTCATATCGAGGTAATTCCCTCCCCTGTGGGAGGTCTGGCACTGGACTCAGGCTAAGTTTATTGAATATTGTCCCCAAATGTCTCAAATTAACTCTTCCAACATGGTAAAGCTGGCGTGCATGAATGAAACTCTGCAGGTATATCCGACAGAGTTCTTGAATTTGGCGCAGTACTCTCCAGCCATTTGTCCTTCTCCCATACCTGACTTTCAGAACTTTACGGATTTGCTGGGCTCTTGGCATAGCGTGACAGATTCATGAAGCAACTGACAGATGCAAGCTGAGGCCAGAACTGGATCGCCAGGATACTGAGACGGCCTACCACGACTTCGACAGCCTCCTCAGGTGCTGCCAGTGTTGCAACGATTCGGATGGGAGTTGTCCACTGTGGTGGTCCCTTTCCCTTTATATAGATCAGATACTCCACGGTAGGAAGCAGAGATCTCACTTCATCTTGAATGAGAGATTTCAAGCCTTACCAGGCAGCGAAGTTCAGGGCGCTTGGGCAGCGACTGCCCCAACCAGCTTTTTAACCTTGGAAAGTTTTCTTTTGCAAATTTACATGCAAAAAAGAAGTTACCATCAAAGATCGCTGGAACCGCGGTTGACACTGCTTTTGAGCCGAGACAGCGCACTATCTGCAGCTTTCAGAGACTGCGGATGGTCAGCTGAAAGCGAGCCGCTGTCGTGCATGCCCCGGACGTGTGCGGAAAAATCAAGTCTGTGTGGTGAAATGCTTTAAAGGCCGCAGATCTCAACCTACAGCAATCTCGGTCCAGGCCCATTGAAAATTGGGGAAAACCCTTGTGGAACACATCACAGACGTCTTTTGGAACGACAGACTTTGCCACACCATGCAGATCCATCTCCAGCCAGAAGTGCCCGGATGAGCTTGCGCTTGCGGCGGGTTCATTCGGCTCGGAGTGCCTTGGAGATGTCGAAGCCTCGGTTCCCCGTCGGAGTGACCCAAAAAGCACGAACCCAGTGGAACCCGGTAGAACCGACCGTGGAGGTCTCATGCTTTCGTTGGACGCCCAAGGCTGTTGGAATGGATCGGAGGATCCTTCATGCGTGTGATTCAGCGCTTGGAGGCGCCCGTGCTCGGAGTGCAATTTGAGAGTTTAGATGTGTTTTGATGAACATCTGGCACGGCCGAGGCCAGCTTGCACTTTGTCGCTGCTCCCGGGAATCATATCTATAGCTGGCACCCGCCTCAGCCTCAGCCCATGACCAACGGAACAGAGCGATATACTGGAGGTATTTGAAAAGACTTCGAGCCATCAGAGCGATTGGTGGCGTGGGGCGACAGACGACACCTCAGCTTGGATACAGAGGGATCTTCCCCATATGATATATGGCACCATGAGATACCATGAACCTTGATCTTTGGTCTTTGGTGCATTGTGGAGACGCAGAATCCACACCTGACATTGTCCAGGACTGGCTTGTACCTGAGACACCGAAAACCACGTGGATCACAGGAGATTGCACGGTTGTCTAAGTGAGCATTTGAGTGGAGTAGATCGTAGACGCACGCCAGCAGTTCCCATCGCATGCATTCTTCACTGCGCAGTTTGGGCAGACAAAAAGATAACAATTTACATCAATTTACTACAACTAGCACACCTTGAACGTAGGAGGAAACACGAGCTGCTTGATTTGCCAGGAGTCCACTCTTCTTTGCTTGATTGTCATTATCGCCGTTGCGGTTTTGGGCTTCATCGCGCAGTTTTCCATTCTATTCAGGCTCGTTAGTTGGGACGTAAAGCCGGACCGATTTGGATGCGAGTGCTTTAGATTGCATACCACATCGAACGGACAAACTTCCCAATAGACGTGCATTTCCGAGAGACAAGTCTCAGCCAGCCTGTCGGTTGGAGTCTGTCTCTGCCCTGTGTCAGTGTACAGCCTCGCCATGGAGCATTCTTTGCAGCACTCGTCCTCAGAGGGCCAAGGGTCGCACTCCAAACGTGCTCGTTCAAATGCAACGAGCTCGAGACATCGCTTTTCCGAGGCTTTGCTGCTACCACCGTTCGCAGACATCTTGGCTCTTGTGAACACCACGCTTTTTGTGTGCGGTGCTGCGGACTGGACATGCCTTTTCATCCCCTTGAATCCCGCTTTTCGTGTGCGTTTCTTGGTGAAGCCGCGCAGGACGGTACCACTGCCTGCCTCTTTGTGGTTGCATCCAACTTGAATTCCTTGATTGGCCCGCAGCCCTTGTTGGCGCTTCATGTTGCTTCTCAACTTTGCTTCTTGTCGGTTTCTGCGCCAAGGCCTTTTGTGTCGGCTCATGGCCATGGAGCGTTGGCGTTCCTCGGGGCTCTTCCATGCTACTTGACAAATTGGAACAATAGTTAAGAGTTAATTGATGAATTTAGAGACGCTTCTTTTTCATGAAAACGTGTTTCAGATTCTCACAAGGATGCTTTTAGATTCTCACTCATGAGAGTCTCAGACTCCTGGCACTGAGGTCCTTGGTGAATACTTGATGGTGTTTGTCGTGAAAGTCTTGATGTGCAGATGGGTCAATCTCATGATCGCCTTCGGGGAGGTGCCAAGTTGGCGAACAGGTTTCAGTGTTTGTTTCTAGTTTTTCCCCAAACAGTTTACTTCCGCAAACAGTTTACTGTTGGGGTTCTATCTTGGAAAAAAAGAGCTGGCCACACTCACTGGCCGCGCCCCTGAACTCTGTGGCTGGGCTCTGTGTCCAGGCCTTGCCCTCCTCTTGTCCTCTTTGGCTGGGCTCTGTGTCCAGGCCTTGTCCTCCTCTCGTCCTCCTCTTGGCCGCGCCCCTGAACTCTGTGGGTGGGCTCTGTGGCTGGGCTCTGTGTGCAGGCCTTGTCCTCCTCTTCTCCTGTTCCTGTGCTGGGCCTTGTCCTCTTCTTGTCCTCCTCTTGTCCTTGTCTTGGCCGCGCCCCTGAACTCTGTGGCTGGCCTCTGTGGCCCGGCTCTGTGTCCGGGTCTTGTCCTCCTCTTGTCCTTGTCTTGGCCGCGCCCCTGAACCCTGTGGCTGGTCTCTGTGGCCCGGCTTACTGGAGAGGAGTGTGGCCGAACAAATAGCGATGTCAATGCCGACAAAAACTCATTGATGAAGCAGATTCCTCTTGGGGTGAAGGTAGGGCGTGCCAAGAAGTCGATTTTTGACTAATATTGGTCTAAGCGAATCGTTTTGAAGCTGTTTGGGGTCTATGCTTGTATAATTGATTCCTTCTATTCCCAATCGTATACAACACTATGCAATACTCAACTCCTTTTTGTTTGGGATTCATAGTCACATTCTCAGTGGCGGCAAGCATATACCTTCAAAGGATGATATGGTGATAGATGCACCGAGTGCACCTGAAACGCTCTTTACTTGACTCTACCTCAGGATAGCTGTCTTGTCTTGTGCTCTGACCTATTCTGGGAGATGACATTTTCTTCACAACGGGCTGACAGGCGGAGCCTGCTCTCCTTGAGCCGGGGGGCAATGATGCAGACCATGAATGGGTCTTGACCTCGGTGGTGATTCCTTATATCTCAGGATTCTCTAACACCTGAAACATATTGAAACATTGATTAATTCGTACTTCATCATATTTTTTATCATTATATACATCAATTCACATTTTGAAGGCGTCAATGGTCTGCTTCAGGTGCGTGATCATGTTCTTTTTCGGCGGCCGGCTGCCAGCCCGCCAAAGGAAACGGCATGGAACTGAGTCTTATCTTGCCCAGCCCCGTGCGACAGTGCTCATCGCTTCGGAACAAGGACGCTACTAGGGGCTCCTGGCCTTACTACTGGGAACAAGGACGCTACTAGGGGCTCCTGGCATCGCTACTAGGAGCAAGGACGCTACTAGGGGCTCCTGGCATCGCTACTCGGAACAAGGACGCTACTAGGAGCTCCTGGCATCGCTACTAGGAAAAAGGACGCTACTAGGAGCTCCTGGCATCGCTACTAGGAGCAAGGACGCTACTAGGAGCTTTTTCCCACAAAATGCAGCTGAGCTAGCAGGCCGGCTCTGCATCAGCCACAGTCTCTGCTCGGCCGCCACCCTTGGAGGACAAGATCATCGTTAACTGAGTATATATCCGTTTTCGGGAGATGAATTTCATTAGACATTTGTGGAGGAGATGTATGTGGAACAGAACTCCCGCAGCTGGTTGGTGAAGGGTTTGGACTCGTCGCGGACCCTCTCCGACAGATTTGAGGAGACTTTCTATGCTTTCATGCATACTAAGATGTGCAAAGTCTGAAAGATGTTTAGATTTTGGCAGAACTGGCACACGGTGTCTAGCTTGAGCAAGCCAAGTTGAACGGCGCTTTCTTCACGCGTTCTGAGCCAGGAGGCACCTGAGCGGATCAGCCCTTCAGATCCAACGTTGCTGGGCAAAGACAAGAATTTGCCTTTCTCCCCTGGCATCCCCTCTTCAGCAAAGTCTCTCTCCCTCTCTCCCCCTCTCTCTCTGTCTGTCCTGTCCTGTCCTGTCCTGTCCTGCCCTGCCCTGCCCTGCCCTGCCCTGTCCTGTCCTGTCCCGTCCCTGTCCTGTCTGTCTGTCTGTCTGTCTGTCTGTCTGTCTCTCTCTCTCTCTCTCTTTCTTTCCCTCTCACAACAGTTGTCTATTAATCCATCCATCCATCTATCCAACCATCCAGCCGTCCATGTCACTCTTTTGCAGCTTTGGCTGGTGCATCACTTCTTCTTGTGCTCCATCACTTTCATTGCTCATTTGCATTATTTCCTTTGCTTCTTGTATCTAAACCCCTGCGGCCCTGCCTCTTTCTTTTCAAAAGCACTTGGCTGCAAGGCTTCGGGGCAGCGACAGTGTCAGTCACTCCGGCTTCTCTTGCTTCCCTCCGAATTGTATTACTTGGCGCTGTGATGACAGGTCTGTCTGACGGTTGGACCCCACTTCTCCACAAAGTGAGTGGCAAACCATCGTTTCATATAGATAAAAAAGACTCAGATTTTCCCTGAGCTTTGAGCCTTCTGCAATGGCTCCTCTTCTCGCAAGAACTCACCATTAGACTTACTTACAAAAGCTGCAGTGTCTACACTCAAGAAGAGAAGCTGCTGCAGTGTACAAAGAAATTTTAGGCCCATAGGGGGATACAGGTTCAGCTGCCAACTTAGTCTTCTCACTGAGAGGAACAGCTGTTGGATTCAGAAAAGGGCCGTTCTTTGGATCCGGATCCAATCAGATGGAGACGTTGCAAAGACCAAAGACCTTTTCCATATCTTCTGATATTTGCAGCCCTACTACTAGAACCTCCTGGCTTTACTACTAGGAGCAAGGACGCTACTAGGGGCTCCTGGCATCGCTACTCGGAGCAAGGATGCTACTACTTGCAGCCCTAGGGCTCAGCGTAGTCTTCTTAGTCCAAAGAACCAGGGCTTGCAGGGTCGCCCTGTGTGGATGACCGATGCCTAGTGCAGGTGAGGATGAGGGGTGAGGGGCGGGCAGGGGCAGCTTCGCCAATTTGCTACGATGTGATGTAAGTGATGGGACATGCAGGTTGCGCTATTTTGGGAAGCTTTCAAAGATGCTTCTTCTGAAAGCAGCGCCTGGCGCTCGACTAGAGCTGTGACACATGCTGCCTGCACAGCTGCAAGCGCGCACGGGATGTCAGGTTTTGCCCTCCCCCTCGTGCTGAAGCTCAAGAAGGGTCCAGGTGAGCTCACCTTGGAGAGAGCAAGTTTGGAAAACTTCACAACTGCAAAAGCGTAGTCTTTTAACAAAATAGCTGTTCGAACGAGGGTTCAATTCCCGTGAACATCCTGGATGGGAGCGAGTTGTGCTAGCGAGTTGTGCTTATGATGGTGGCTATTTGAACTTGCTTGGCTCAAGCGGCTCAATGTTCACCCGAATTTGCGCAGAGTCACACTCGTGGCATCTGTATGGCTGGCACAGAAGCATGGACATCGCCTGAGGCCATTTTCGTCCATTTTGCATTTTCAGGCAATGCTTGCCATGCAGATTCGTTGGAGGCAATGGAGAAAGCTGCTGTTGACAAAGCAGCTGGAGGACCTGCCACGGGAGGTGGCTGGTTGCTAGACTTTTGGTTGATAGCTGCGCACACTTTTGGAGCCAAGACTAGCGTGCCTGTTCTCCCTTTCTGTGCTGTTAACAGCTTCACGAGGCGGAATGAACTCCTTAACATCATTAGATATCACTAGCTCATTTGGTTGGAATGAACTCCCTGCAAGGAGAAGCCGAAGACCAGACCGCCGATTCGTTGCATGCTTTGGAGGAAGTACAATCACTTCGCTTAATCAGGCTCGGGACATCTCTGTGAGTCGTTGAGACCGTCAGTATGTCCCCAGTCATCTCTGAGGACTTTCCCTGAGAACGAGGCAAAGCCCAAAAGCACTGGCTTAGCAGATTGCTTGTGATCTTTGATGAACCTTTAGAGCCTCTTCAAAGGGCAGGGAGCTTGCATCTTGCAGGTTCTGATTGAAGTCATCGACTCCATAGACTCGCCGTGGCGCTCATTGAAGTCAACCCTCCCTTCCATTCTCCTTTTTGCCTCGGTAAAGGGTTCCCGCATCACTGAGGCCTGACGTGCCCGGACAGGTTCCATCAGAGTCCGACCAGCTCGGGAGTCCGATGCGTCCGATGTGCCAATACACTAGTAGTAAGGCACTTGTTACTACTAGCGTGGCACTTGTTACTACTAGCGTGGCACTTGTTACTACTAGCTTTTTTGTTACTAGTAGTAAGGCACTTAGTAAGCGTATTTTTCTTAATAGCGCATGCCCTTTGTTCCTAGTAGCTTCTTGCTCCTAGTAGCAAGGCCAGGCGCCCTAGTAGCGTCCTTGCTCCAACAAGTGCATTTTTACTGCTAGTTCACGATGTTCACGACCTCTTAGGTTGGAAGAGGTGCCGGTTCCAAAGTGTGGTCAAGGGTCTGGAGCCCAATGGGTTCTTAAACGATGGCCCAAGAGTGATCATAGCAGATGTGAAGAAAGATGAAGAAAGTAGGTGACTCCTACCATTTTGCGACATATGACATATGATGTTTTTGTTTGCCTGTTCTTTCTTCAGATCTACAGTTCCTCAGGCCCCCACCAGACAAGCTCGAGCCCACTTTGCCTTGCAAGCTCCAGCCTCAAAGTACAGCATCTCCAAGCAGAGCACTCTTTCAGCAACTCTCTTGAGGCCAGAGGCAATCCTACTAGAGCAAGAAGCTTAGCCATGCGAGACTGTAGCCAGCTTTTTTGTGACAAACCAAAGCTTTGAGAGGCCCCAAATTGCAAAAGCACAAGGATTTCAAGTGACGCAACTGCCTCGGGCATGACACGTGCGTCACATGCGTCACCTTGGTGCAAAAGATGTCACATCATGGTGAGGTCGGAAGATGAACACTGGCAACGCCATCAGGAGCATCTTGCATACTTGAAGAGCTTGGGGAGTCTTGCGCCCAGCGGAGCGAACGCAGCGAACGCAGCGAATGTAGCGAACGCACAACGTACCTTGCACATCTCGCCCAGTGCTCCAGCTGCTCCTTGCACTTGGAGCTTGCCTTAGGTGACACCTACAATATGGCAGTTGAAGATACAGAAGGACTGTCACCACCGCAAGCCAAGGACGAGGCCAGGCATGCTTTGACATGCTTTGACTAGTGAAAGCAGATGAAAGCAGCATTTTTCAGCCATTTTCAAAGTCGATACATTTGGTGACGATTCTCGACGACATGATTCACGATCGATCGAACAGTCGAAACAGATTCGACACGACAAGGTGGACGACACGACCTGCACCCCTCCCACTTCTCAGCAAGGCCAGGGCCAATACTTTGCGACACGAAGTTGGTCTGAACCCATTTCTGAGATGCCTGACCTGTTAGGCATATCTTTCCTGAAGTTTGTCGGGGAAACTCCTCACGTCAGAAGCTGACAACTGAACATATTCATACTGGTCGAGTTTCAAAGTTCATCTCCGAGGTGGGGCTCGACGAGAGAGATTTGAGTGAAACTGCAAGCGTGCGAGACCTGGTAAACACAGGGCTTGAACGTCAGCATTTCGATGCGTTTGCGGGCCCTTCATGCGCAATCTCACTTGCAAGGTGAGAGAAAGCAAAATGGAGGTTGTCAGACTTGGACCTGACCCCAAGGAGCCTGAACAAACGGAACATGTGCCAGGCCGCCATGGCATCAGAATGTGAATGAATGTCAGGAGAGCCCACCTGGATCTGGACCTCGAAACACAACTCCTGGGCGAGGCATGCGTTTTTGTGAGGTTTGCATCAACTTGGGTCTGACATGGTCTGACTGACTGCGCTTTGGTGAGGCCTGAGAGAAAGGGGAATTGAAGGCCCTGCTGGTCTCCCTTTGACAACTGTGGAGAACTTGTCGCAGGCAAAGCTGGCACAGGTTGGTTGACTTGAGATTGAAAAGGTCATCAACGAGTCGGAAAAGACTACAAACACAACCTGGTCCAGTCTACTCCATTGCACCTGCTTGTTGCAGTGTGCCAGGCACAGGACCAAGAAATTTGGCTGAAACTCAAAAGACAACTGCCCCGTGCTGAGCTGTGAAGCATTGTTCTGTATCTCAGTGAACTTTTTGGAGCAAGGCAGAACCTGGAGGAGAGCATCGGCGAGATTGCAAGGAAGTCCATGCTGCAACCTAAGTCCGAAGTAGACCAAGGTATACCTGCTTGACCCATTCGACTTGGTGTTTTGCTAGGAGATATCTTGATGCTCCAAGGCCAAAGCCCAATCCGAACCTGAACTTGACGCAATCCCACCCGTCACGGCCAAAGGAAGCCATCCTGGGTGGTCCCCTGTGGCAAGGACATTTGCGGGCACTCCCCATGATGTCCCCCATGGCGCGGCCTCAAAGCCAAACTTTTGATGATGGTGCCAGCGCCAGCAGCACTTACTCAGAGCTGTCGTCCTCCGTGGCACAGGCTTGGCAGCTGGGCTAGCTTGGTGGGTCATGGAAGCAAACAAAACACTTTCACTTGGTCACTTGGAAGCTCTTTTCTTGATCGTGGAAGAACATACATCTTAGATCATTTTAGCCGCCTCAAATATCCCTTATGACCAAAACGCTGACCTTCCACCTTGGAGCTTGATCACATTAGCTGTCAGGGCCATAGCTCAAGAGCTTCTGTCCAGTCACTCGTCGAAGCGCAGCAGCACGCTCAGTTGAATATGACGGGGTTGTTGCGTGTGGAGAATTGAATAGAATTGAGTATATATCGATTATCACGATTACAGATTACAGTAATCCTGAGCACGTAAAGCACAACAGTGTTTCCTGGAAGATGCCGCAATGCCCAGCAAAGCTTGTGCGAGCATTTTGTACTAATTACAGGCTCCCTCCGCAGGCACCTGAAGAGTGCAGCCCCACAGATATATTTCAAACATAAGATTTGGCAGTGCATTGAAAGTCTCAGAGCAATGATGGTATCAATTGCTGTCCAAAGCAATCTCTGAAGTTTTGGCAAGCTCTGCGAACAATTTTGCTGAACACACAGTACCGACGTTCCAATTCAGAGGCCGTTCCGTTCTAAAAGCATCCTCTTTCCTTGTTTTGCGTCCAAGGACAATGTCTACTCATTATGCCCTCTTGCATTTAAACAGCTGAGAGGATGCTATTTTTCCTTGTAGCAGCACATTCCTGCATGTAAATTTAAACTGTCTTAGTTAAAGACACCCTCTTCTGTGTTAAGGTTGCCTTCTCCAATCCGTAGACATGCCTTTAAAGGGATCCGTGTTCCTGTGAACATTACTCCTGTTGTGTGGACACCTGCATCCATACAAAGATGCACATGTCTTTAGTTGAGGGTACCCTCTTCTGGTAGGCGCATCCACCAAGCAGCCCACTTCTCTGTGAACATCTATTCTATTTTGTGCATAGATACCTGCTCCCATGCAAGACAACGTCTATCTACAAAAAGCAGATTTTGCAGGTCTAGTTGAAGCCAAAGTCTGAGTTGCGCAGTGGACATTTTACTCTGAGGCAAGGATCGATGGTTCCAGATCAGGCCGTGCCAGGGATGCAAGGGCGTCCAGCCTCTAGGATGCGCTGCCTGTCGATGACCCAGTGGATTTTCTGACAGAAGCTTCCCGGACGTATTTGGACTTTTGAATGAACTTTATGTTTTTGGACGTGGGAGGGTTGAGCAAACTTGGTGAAAAACACTGACTGTTCAAGTTTTCAAGGCCAGCAAGCTGTGAGAGCAGGAGCACAAACAGCCTGGCTTCCATAGAGTGGATGCCTTGAATCCTGTCGCCTGTCTACCTGAAACACCGTACAAATTTACATTCGCAACTTCAGGCAAGTGCCGTACACTCCTGGCAGTGCCAAGATCATGTCACGCCTGTCGCTTCCTGTGGGAGTTGTTGGCCAGAGACTCAGACAGACTTGGTCATCGTCATTCCCCAACAGCCATGCTATGGAGTCTTGCAAAACTAGACGGGCGCCGTCGGGTCACTGTCAGAGCTGGGCGGATGGTGTCCCGGTCATATATTGATGGTGTCCCGGTGACGGTGTCCCGGTCATGTTGTGACGGTGTCCCGGGCATGTTGTGATGGTGTCCCGGTCGTGTTGTGATGGTGTCCCGGTCATGTTGTGACTGTGTCCCGGTCATGT